ATGTAACCCACTTGGACACTGAACTGCCATGGGCTACATCTGTGCAGGGGTTCTAGGTTATCTCCACAAATACTCCTTGGTTGGAGTATGAGTCTCTGGGAAGTTCCCTGTGTTCAAATTATCTTGTTCTGTTGCTCTCCTTGTGGAGTTTCCGTCCCCTCCAGCTCTTACTATTTCCCACTTCTTACATAAAATTCCATTCACTCTGCCCATCAGTTGGCCATCAGGCTCAGCATCTGCTTTGACAGTCTATACTGCAGAAGCTTTCAGAGGCCCTCTGTGGCAGGTTCCAAGGTTGTTTCTTGTTTTCTTCTGGCTTTCAGAGGCCCTCTGTAGCAGGTTCTGAGGTTGTTTCCTATTTTCTTTTTCTTCTGATGTCCATCCTCTTTGCTTTTCAGGATGGGGATTGAACATTTTAGTTAGGGTCCTCTCTTTTGCTTAGTTTGTTTAGATGTACAGATTTTAGTGGGTTTATTCTATGTTGTATGTTTATATGAGTGAGTATATACCATGCGTGTCTTTTTGCTTCTGGGACAACTTACTCAGGATGATCCTTTCCAGGTCCCACCATTTACCTGCAAATTTCATGATTTCCTTATTTTTCATTGCTGAGTAATACTCCATTGTATAGATGTACCACAGTTTCTGCATCCATTCTTCAGTTGAGGGGCATCTGGGCTGTTTCCAGCTTCTGGCTATTACAAATAAAGCTGCTACAAACATGGTTGAGCAAATGTCCTTTTTGTGTACTTGAGCCTCTTCTGGGTAATGCCTAGGAGTGGTATGGCTGGATCTTGAGGAAGCGCTATTCCTAGTTGTCTGAGAAAGCGCAAGATTGATTTCCAGAGTGGTTGTACAAGTTTACATTCCCACCAGCAGTGAGAAGGGTTCCCCTTTCTCCACAACCTCTCCAGCATGTGTTGTCACTTGAGTTTTTCATCTTGGCCATTCTCATGGGTGTAAGGTGAAATCTCAGGGTCTTTTTGATTTGCATTTTTCTAATGGCTAATGAGGTTGAGCATTTCTTTAAATGCTTCTCTGCCATTCTATATTCCTCTACAGAGAATTCTCTCTTTAGCTCTGTTCCTCATTTTTTAAGTAGATTACTTGGTTTGCTGCTTTTCAGCTTCTTTAGTTCTTTATATATACTGGATATGAGTCCTCTGTCAGATAAAGGGTTGGTGATGATTCTTTCCCAATCTGTAGGCAGTCGCTTTGTTTTGATGACTGTGTCCTTTGCTTTACAGAAGCTTTTCAATTTCATGAGGTCCCATTTATTGATTGTTGCTGAGAGCCTGTGCTGTTGGCGTTCTGTTCAGGAAGTTTTCTCCTGTACCAATGAGTTCTAGGGTATTCCCCACTTTTTTTTTTCTAGCAGATTTAATGTGTCTGGTTTTATGTTGAGGTCTTTGATCCACTTGGACTTCAGTTTTGTGCAGGGTGATAAGTATGGGTCTATTTTCATTTTTCTACATGTAGACATCCAGTTGAACCAGCACCATTTGTTGAAGATGCTATCTTTTTTCCATTGTATGGTTTTGGCATCTTTGTCAAAGATCAGGTGTCCGTAAGTGTGTGGGTTTATTTCTGGGTCTTCTGTTTGATTCCATTGATCCACCATTCTGTTTGTATGCCAGTACCATGCAGTTTTTATAACTGTTGCTCTATAGTACAGCTTGAGATCAGGGATGGAGATACCTCCAGAAGATCTTTTATTGTAGAGGATTGTTTTAGCAATTCTGGGTTTCTTGTTAATCCATATGAAGTTGAGAATTTTTCTTTCCAGGTCTGTAAAGAATTGTGTTGGCAATTTGATGGGAATTGCATTAAATCTGTAGATTGCTTTTGGTAAGATGGCCATTTTTACTATGTTAATCCTGCCAAGCCATGAGCATGGGAGATCTTTCCATCTTCTCATATCTTCTTCTAATTCTTTCTTCAGAGACTTGAAATATTTTTTCATACAAGTCTTTGACTTGCTTGGTTAGGGTTATACCAAGGTACTTTATGTCATTTGTGGCTATTGTGAATGGTGTTGTTTCTCTAATTTCTTTCTCAGCCCTTTTGTTTTTTGTATACAGGAGTGCTACTGATTTTTTTGAGTTAATTTTGTATCCAGCCACTTTGCTGAAGGTGTTTATCAGCTGTAGGAGTTCCCTGGTAGAGTTTTTGGGGTCACTCATGTATACTATCATATCATCTGCAAATAGTGATAATTTGACTTCTTTCTTTCTCATCTGTATCCCCTTGATCTCCTTCAACTGTCTTATTGCTCTAGCAAGGACTTCCAGCACTATGTTGAAGAGATATGGAGAGAGTGGGCAGCCTTGTCTTGTCCCTGATTTCAGTGGGATTGCTTTAAGTTTCTCTCCATTCAGTTTGATGTTGGCTATAGGCTTGATGTATATCGCCTTTACTATGTTTAGATATTGGCCTTGTATCCCTGATCTCTCCAGTACTTTAAACATGAATGGATGTTGGATTTTGTCAAATGCTTTTTCAGAATCTAGGGAGATTATTATGTGGTTTTTTTCTTTCAGTTTGTTAATATGGTGGATCACATTGATGGATTTCCATATATTGAACCACCCCTGCATACCTGGGATGAAGCCTACTTGGTCATAGTAGATAATATCTTTGATGTGTTCTTGGATTCGGTTTGCAAGTATTTTGTTAAGTATTTTTGCATCAATGTTCATAAGGGTGATTGGCCTGAAATTCTCTTTCTTTGTTGAGTCTTTGTGTGGTTTAGGTACCAAGGTGACTGTGGCTTCATAGAGTGAGTTTGGTAATATTCCTTCTGTTTCTATTTTGTGGAATAGTTTGAAGGGAATTGGAGTTAGCTCTTCTTTGAAGGTCTGGTAGAATTCTGCACTGAAGCCATCTGGTCCTGGGCTTTTTTTGTATGGGAGACTTTTGATGACTGCTTCTATTTCTTTGGGGGATATAGGACTAAAAAATATGGAACACTTCACGAATTTGCATGTCATCCTTGCGCAGGGGCCATGCTAATCTTCTCTGTATCGTTCCAATTTTAGTATATGTGCTGCCGAAGTGAGCACGAGACCCAGTTTTAAAACAGTAGTCTTTCCTTTGGCCTATGACATTGAAAAATTTAAAAAGACTCATGGCTACAAGAATTTTTTGTTTTGTTTTGTTTTTCAAGACAGAGTTTCTCTATGTAGCTTTGGCTGTCTTGGAACTTGCTCTGTAGACTAGGCTGACCTCGAATTCAGAGATCCACCTGCCTCTGCCTTTCAAATGCTGGGATCAAAGGTGTGTGCCATCGCCCCTTCCCCCAGCAGATATAAGAAATTTGATAGCTCTATAATATTAGTATAATTGAACATGGTCTTTGGGAACTATTACATCTCATTGTATAAATGTTATCAAAATAATTTGCTGTAAGTGTGGATCTACATATAACTTGTTTAGTTATAAAAAAAAACATTTGTAGAATTTGAGGTACATTTTGAGGAGGGATACAAGCCATTGCTGGCAAAAAAAATGTTTTTAAAAAGATATAGCTGACCTCTGTCTGTGAAGTTAATAATGATATTAATAATACTGGATTATCCACTTAATGGAATGCTGTTCCAGGACAGAAAATTATCAGCTCACAGTTGCTGTACTTATTTTTCTGAATGTTTCTTCATTTTACCGTTATCAGTTCTGACCACTGCAGTCATAGATCAGCAAGTCCTTTCTCTTCACAGCCCCATACCCCTGGAATGGTTCTAGAAGCTCATGTATCCAAATTGATTTTGCATTGTTTTGGACTCGTTCTACTGGAAGATAGGTGAGGGATACAGTCAGTTTTGAACCCTTGGGGGTGCAGAGACATCTGGGCCTAATAGAAAAATGCTTGCATGAATAAGATGGTCTCTTCAGACGCAGAGAACAAGCTAGTTGTGAATCTATATGCTGGCAGATAAGCTCCTGCAAGGGGGCCTCAGAAAGTGGCTAGACTAGACTCTCATTTGTAAACAAACTTACATGGCAGGTTTGAGAAGCTAGGAGACATTTTTCTATGTGGTGGTGGTGGTGGTGGTGGTGTGTGTGTGTACATGCGTGTGTGTGTGTGTGTGTGTGTGTGTGTGTACATGTGTGTGTGTGTGTGTGTGTGCGTGTGTTTATGGGTACACTTTTTGTATGTGTGGGTAGGTGTTCACTCATGAGTGTGCAGGCACATGTGCACGCGTGTGCATGTATGTTCAGAGGCCAGAGTATAACCTCTAATGTTATTCTTCAGGAGCTATCTACCTTTATTTTTCAAACCTGTCTCTGTCTCCTAGCACTGAATTTACAAGTGCATATACCTGGCTTTTTTCTTTAATATGAATATTGGGGATTGAATTCAAGTACTCATGCTTCCAAGGCAAGCAATTTACTGACTGAGCTGTCCTTTTTCATTTCCAGTATGAGCCAGACAGGCGGCATGACGTTTGGCTTACAAATGGCTTTTTCTTGCAAGCTTGCGAACAAATTACAGGCTAGGCAGAGTTCATTTTCTCCCTGGACCTCTGAAGTAGGTGGTAGATCTGGAAAGAATACATTTGATGGGAGAGAAACTGACAGAAACATTTAAAGGGATACAATAATGTTAGCTACATGAGGTCTTGTCATTTAGGTTTTCTTTACTGTTACAAAACGAAAATCTAGCTCGCCACAGTTCAAATCCATGCAGGAACAAATTTCAACATGCTATGTGCATGAATATTTTTATTCTTAGAGCCAGTTAGTAATATAAGAGCCTGAGAGCCTGTTCTCTAAAACTGGCTATGAAAATACTTGGGGAAGAAGCGGGTTTGATCACATATTATTAAAAATCTGTCCCATGACCCTGAGATTACAGCATGTTTAAGTCAGTGACATTTCATTCTGTAGTAAGGAAAACTGAATTAAAAAAAAATACATAGGCAAAATGCACCCTTCCCTTGAAACAACTGAGAAAGGCCCAAACTCTAAAAGACATCATTACACAGGACAATCAAATGGTAACATGGATAGAAACACACGGGTGTGGATTACTGAATGAAGATTCCTGTTCCAGCCTGTTTCAGCTTGCTGTGGCTTGTCCTCACCCAACTGCTATCTTCAGAAGAAGCTTCTGAGGGATAGTGTTTCCTCATGCCTTGTCTGGGCTTCAGTGTTGCTTAAGGAGCAATTAGAGCCACGAGCATGAGGATTTCTGCTGTTAGGATGTGAAGTATGTGTGTTGTTAGGACATTTGGTTCTTTGTGGAGACTTTACTAGACAGTTCATCATTCTTAATGACCAATAAATATCTCAGGCCTGGAGAAGACCATTTTTTAAAAAATCTGAACTCTTTAGTTGGAGGCCAACTAGAGGGGCCCACAGGCTCATGCTTGAGGAGCACTGCTTTGCAGCACTGCTGACTGAAGCTGCTAGCCCCACTCCTTGACCCTCAGTCTACAATGCTTGCCCCTCCACTACATGAAGCTGAACAAACATTTAAGGAATGTTGGTCTGAAGGGAAGCCAAGTTATTAACCCATTTTAATGTCTTTTGTCTTCATATCCCTTTGTTTACAAAAGATTCATATAACCTATGACCTTTTTTCTCCTATTTCTAGTGTCCATGGAAAACATTGGTGAACAAGGTAAAATACTGTTATGATTGCAGATATGATGTCTTAAGAACAGTTAGAGAAAACAAATTGTATCCATTGTATTTGGTTGGGGTTAAGAGAATATTCCTTGACAAGATGGTAATAGGATGGAGTAAATGACATCTCATTCTTCTAAATTCTGTCACTCATGTGGCAAAGAACACTGTAATGGCCTTAATTGTTTCAAAGATCCTTGTAGCTCCATGATACAATCAAATTATTAATATCATGTTTAAAATATCAAACATGTCATATCCTGCTTATTTATTTAGTTAGTTTTTGTTAGGAGTAGGGGCCTGGATGCTAGAAAAGAACTCTACCACTGTTCTGCACCCCCAGTCCTCAAACATGTCTATATTCCGAATTGGTACATTTTCTGCAACTGTTTACTTCAGAACTGTGCTAATATATTATTCAAACAGACTTATTGTCAGTAGTATGGAATTATTATTTCAAATCCATGTCATACTTCAAGACTTTAAAAGAACATACTAAATGTGTTTATATTCTCTAAAAAAAAAAAATAAAAGTACTCAGGATGTTTTTCTTAACAGTTGTCCTGGTCATAGGATCCCCACGGGCAGAAATCACTTCATCCAGATGGTCCCTGTTTACATGTTGTCATTTTAACAAAGGGAGCCACCAGTGTCAACTAGAGCTAAGCAAACAGGCAGACAGTGTCTCCAATGGGAAATGCTCTCTCTGCCTCTCTTAAGCAAAGTTCATAAACCCTGGAAGTCTGAGCATTTGGTTAATATTGTATTTACTCTTCTGTAACCTCCCTGTTTTTACAACTTAGGAAAGGTCTGTTTAGCCAATTTTTAAAGAGACAGGCCTATGTACAGATTGGGGATGGGTTCTATTCATGGATAGAGATGTAATGATACATTCAGAGATATTTTTTAAAACCCTCCTGACTTTAGGTTTTTAATTCAAAGAATTGTGCTATTGGAATATGATACAAATAATATTCTATAGTTTATCATCACAGTTAGTTTGGATATTTTGTGACTACCATGATTTGAGTAAAAATTTGCATGTTGCAATGATGATTATGTTTCTTTTGTTTTAGTTGTGTGCCTCCTGGCTTATCATCTACTTTTTGCAATGTTTGTCTGGTCATACTGGAAAACCATTTTCACGTTGCCCATGAATCCTTCAAAAGAAGTAAGTTAAAGCAATACTATAGTCCTCCTAAAGACAGCAACCTGTAAAATTAATTTCTGAAAATGAATTTTCTTCTTTTCATTAATTTTTTTTCAAATTTATTGAATACAGTGATGTCTTTTGATTTAAAAAATCTGCATATGTTCATAAACACTGGAATTTTCACTAGGTTCTTGTTTTTGTGTATGGTAGAATTATCCTACCAAATCTTTTATGCTTTCCTTTCTACTTTAGTGTTAAGCATCCAGATGGATCAATAAGCGATAGTTTTCAGATAGATAGACAGATAGATAGATAGATAGATAGATAGATAGATAGATAGATAGATAGATCGATCCAGATGGGTCAGTAAAAGATAGGTGACAGGTAGGTAGACAGACAACAGACAATTTGGAACAATTTTACACTAATTATTATAGTAAAAACTTATTAGTTGTTTGTCAATCACCAGAAACAACAACAATAAATGGTGTAATTCATTCTCTCTGTATTCAAGATATCTATAGCTAGCCCACAGCTTTTACATACCCAGACTCCTGTCTTAACTGTTCTGTCAGATGATGTTTTGATTCCATGGGCCACTTTTTGGCTGAAGGTGTAGCCCTAATTCCAGACATTATGAATCTATTGCAGCCAGCAGGCCATAGACAGTAGGGAAGGGTTGTCCTTTCCCTTCGGCAACATTTTCTTCAAGTTACTGATTCCATTTCTACTTGCATTTAGATGACTTCATTATGTGACCCCCTCTCGCATGGAAGCCTGAGGATGTAATTGTGATTCTCAATGGCCATGTCAGCCACTAAAGACAGGGGTGGTTACTGGGGGAACGGAGCAGCTAGCAATATGCTACAGAAGGTCTCAAGTAATAGCATGTGACTAAGCTATATTTGCATTTTTTAATATATTGTCCTCATTTCTGGCTTACTCACTTGGTTACATGATTTAAGAGCAAGAGATGGTATTTTACACACTTTTGTGTTCTTCGCATTTGCTCTAATACGTGTTTGTTGAGTTGTAATAAACCTTGCTGTGTATATCATTGCATATTTTTAGTAGGTGAAGTTAAAAAGAAAAGACATCACAGTAGTTTATTTCCTAAAGAAATCAGTTTGAGATGAATCTGTGACCATATGACCAAAAACTATGCTTTTGGCCTGCAAAAGGGTGTTAAAACCCAAGACGCATATATTTGCACAGAAATAATGGTATGTGTAGACTGTAGTGTTTCACAGACTATTTTGTGTCTTTGACTTTTTATGTCTTTTCCCCTTTTCTATGTGTTTTTTTTCCTTCCTCATATAGTATTCACTTCTTTCTCATAATCTCTCTCACGGTATCTTGGCCTTTGTGTAGGTTTGTGGGAAAATGCTGCCTTCAGTCAATTGAGCGAGTGATCTCATCCACTCAGGTGGCTTACCACCTACCTCTACATTGATAACTTTCATATCTATTCCCAGCTCTGATTTCTTTTGAGGGCCTAGCAAGGGTCTCTCTAGCAAACATTCCACCTTGGTCAGTCCATTGACACCTTAAATACAAACTGTAAACAGAGTTCACCATTTTGTCCTTCCCTAAACCCTACCATGTCTGCTACTTTCATTAATAAATGTCTGTGCCGTCCATCTGGGAGGTAGGCCAGGATCCTAGTGTCTGCCTGCCTCTGTCTCTCTCTGTTTCCATCCCTCTCTCTCAGTCTGCTTCTGTCTCTTTGTCTCTGTCTTTCTGTCTCTCTGTGTCTCTCTGCTTCTCCCCAATTCCTCCCTACCCCCTACTCCTCTCTTTTTGTCCCTTCCTCTTACCATCTCAACCATTTCCGTTGTCTGACATACTATAGTCTTCATGCTGTGTAAGTCTTACTTGTGCCTGCTTCCCCTGTGCTCCATCCACAGGGAAATACAGCATTTTTATCTGCTGTAAATGTCTGTTCTGTGACTGCATATACCCCCGCAGGGTAATTCTGGTCTCCCTTGCCTGGCAATAATTATCCTTGTCTGAGTCTGACTTCCTGCTTTCTGTTCTTGTAACTCTTAACTCGTGTAGCTTTCCAGTATTCTTCTTTCTATAATATTTTTTTCTCTTTATAGTTTGCATCCATACTAGCAGCAGTTCAGTTATCTCCTGAAATTCTTAAGCATGAAATTATCCCAAAGTTCAGTTGCTGGACTTCTTTTTTTTTTTATATATCTGCATTGGAGATCCCATGTAATTTTATAACTTTAGATAGTGTCTCATTGGTATAACTCTCAAATGGATACATTAGCCTTTGGCCTCTCTCCTGAATGCCTGATTCATCAATCAAGATCTCTTTGACATCTGACAAAAATTTCAAACTTAATGTATCTGAAAACATTTGGATCTCCTACTCAGTTTTGTAATCATATTCCTAAAGTGTCCCCATCTCAGTAATGGTAGTTGCATGCTCCACTCTTCAGGCCAAAACCATTACAGTCATCCTTGAGTATACTTCCTCCTGATCCCGATCCCGTATCCAATTAGCAATTTCGCTTCAGGCTATGACTTTAGCCAATGCCGACACAGGGTGAGTTCTTGCCTCCTCCCGCTGCCGCCCTGCACCACTTCCTCATCTCTTTCTTATGTATTTGCAGTATCGTGCTCAGGACGTCTGTAACTACACCACGTACAATAGCAAGCTGCCTGGCACAATCATAGAAATTGATGACAATGAATAGACTTTGCTGGGTGATTGTTTTACATAAAACCATATGTATATGTGTGTGTGCAGATAATTGTGTGAGGTAGATATTATGGGATATCCTTTTATGTGTGTGTATGCATGTTTATGTGTATGTGGGCAGCCTTAGAGGCCAGAAGAGGATGTTCACATTCCTAGAATCTAGGGTTACGGGTGCTTCTGAGCCACTTGGTATAGGTGCTAAGAACTGAACGTGGGTCCTCCGCAAGAGCAGCCGGTGCTCTTAATCACCGAGCCATCCCTCCAGCCCATATTGCTAATTGTCATGGTGGCACAGTCTTTTCATCGACTATGTAAGAACTGGCACAGTAATAGACCATTTTTAAATTTTAGGCTAACCCCAACCTCATATCATAGATAGTGCTGATATTACTGTGTTTGAATGCAGAATTTTTACCCACATTTTAAATTATTTTCCTTAATAAAAATTCTCAGGTGTAGAATTAATAGATCAAGGAAATTTCAGTGGCTTGATGAATTGTTGCTCAAAAGGATGCAGTAATTTCCAACATTACCACTTATGTTAGACTCTTGGCATGGCTCGCTATTATGAAAACTGTTAGCAACTTCATAGACAAAATGTTCTGTGTTTTAACTTGCACATTTTAGATTCTAGTGAGGGGATATAGATATATATATATAGCTGTCCTACATGAAAGACAACTAACAGACAAGAAAATGTATTTATGTGAGTTATCTGGTTCTTTTTTAAAATAAGAATCATGATTTTCTTTTTGTGTATATGGTTAAAATTGAGCCCTGCTGTTATCTAGAAACTATAGATGAGCTCAGATCTCGGTTTCTGTTGCAATTTACCAGTAAGAAGCAGGTAGGCGTTTTTGGAGAAGTGATTACTCTTAAGATTATGCAGGAATAATGAAGATGAGTCAAGGGCACCTTCTAGTGCCAGAAAATAAGAAGTACTCAGACAAAATAGGTAGAAGAGAATGTGTCAGAGGAACACAGGGGCCAATGAAAGAAAGCCCAGTAGAAAAGATCAAATGATTAGAGCAGTAAAACTCTCTGTGCATGAAATAAACATCTACATCAATTAAATTAGCAATTGAGTACATTGATAAATAAGTAGCACAACAGAAACACCCGCCCAATAGAAGGCTTCTAAACAGTTTCTGGTAACACTTCACCTTTTAGGAGTCAAGGCATAAATCCCCACTCCTTATATATGAACGAATTCCCTCCACGGGTACAGGATGGAAGAGGAGAAGTACTGAGGAAGATTACAATAGAACCCCTGACGAAAAAGCCCCCTCAGGCTGGAGAGGTGGCTCATGTTTAGAAGCACCTGCCCTTCCGGAGGACGTGGATTCAGTTTTCATCACCCACATGGCAGCTGACAACCACTCATAACTCCAATCCCAGAGGATGCCATTCTCTGACCTCTGAGGGCATCGGACATGCACATACTACATATACACACATGCTGCGGAAACATTGTACGTGCAAAATAAATCTTAAACACACAAACAAACAAACAAAAACTCAACCCTTCCTTAAACTAAATGAATAAGGCCAGTATCATATGACCAGGCTTGCTTACTATGACCTGCTGGCAATGTCAGTTTTCCTCCTAACCATCCATAACCCCAACCTCATCAGGCTATACACATCAGAGAAGTTGCAATTAAATGCAAAGTACTCTACACGGTATCAGTACTCCTCAGAACTACTACGGTAATTAGAAGAAACAAGAAATAAAAAATATAAGCAATGAGGGAATATCCAAGAAACCACAGAGGCTAAAATGAACCCTAGGGCATGTGGCAATTGAAAATACTATGGTATTGTCATAATCCCATATTGTGGAGATATACAGAACAGAAGTACTGAAGTAGAAAAAGATATTCCAAAAAGGAAAATCTGAGTATCTATGCTGAAGTTTATGTGATGCACTTTAGTTAATAACGGATTGATATTACCTCGTTAAAGTGCCAAGTCTGCCCTGCTCCTGTAAGATATTAGTATGGGGAACTTAGTGGTGGGGTATAGAGGAACTTTAGAAATTTTATACTGTGTCCTTAAAATTTTTAGTAAATCGAACGTATTTTTTAAAGGTAAAATAAAATTAGTGTAACAGAAGCAAAACCAGGATGTAGGGAGAGCTGTGCATCTGGAGATTGGAGAATATATCAGGAGTTCCCAGCTCTACTTTCCAAAATGCTCAATACCTTCAGATCTGTACAGACAGCATCTTCTTATCTGTAAAACCCATAGGACTTTGCATATCATGAATGTTCTGGAGGAGGAAATGGTGGAAGGGAGAATCTTACAGCTCTACCCTATGCCAAGGTAGAAATCTATTTTTCATCTCTGCACTAGGCAAGTTAAAAACTTCGCCAACCTGTATTTGGCTTCTTGGAGTTGACCCACAGTCTTCTGGTTAATTTAATAATTTAAGCATTAAACCTGCCAAGGTCTTCCATGTCCAACACTCCCTAGAAGTTATTCCTAAGCAGACAACAACCCACAAACTTGGTGAAAAGTTGTAAAATGTTGATTATTTCAATGCAAGTGTCAGTTCTAAAAAGTCTTTTAATAAACCAATTCACAGGCAAGTCATAATGCCAGGTTTTAAATTAACTTTAGAAATGGCAATGGGAAGAACTAGGGAGGTGACTCAGTGAAGAGAATGCTTGCTCTGCCAGCATGAGGACCTACGTTCAAATGTGAAGCACCTATGTAATGGGCCTGCATTATCACGATTAGGTCTAGCAAAAATCAGTTAAGTTTATTTTATAGAGGTGAAGTATTTGGGCCCAATATCATGTCCTAATTTTTATTGAATAAATTGTCATAATGTATATGACATGTGTAAGTAAGCTTAATTTTTTTTTTTTTTTGAGGCAGAAACTCTCTGGGCAGCCAAGGCTGATCTTGAACTCACGATCCTCCTGCATCAGTCTCTTAAATGTTTAGATTACAGGTGTGCAGTGTCATACCCAACTCAAGGTTGTTTTTAATCTCTCTTTTAAAAATTATCTATCTATTCTGTTGGAGGTTCATTAGTAACTCCTCCCCTGGGAGGTATTCTTAATATAAAATGTGTGTATAAAGGCAGAGGATCTGGTTCAATGGTAGAGAATTTCCTTTTTCTGTATGATGCCCTAGGTTTAATTCTCGGTACTGCCAAAGAAAGTCTATGTAATGTACAATTTCAGAATATTCAAATGAAAATGACTAAGCAAATGTGCAGCTAATATATAGAACATTCTTATTTTTCCTTTCTGCAATACACTTCACAGTTGCATTTTCCTAGACTCTCCAAGAAGAAACAACTATTCTGCATTTAATTTTAGTTATTCCCTGTTCTTGGATGTGAATGTGCCCTTATTGATAATACAAAGGTTGTTTAGCTTCTTGATTTTGAACTTTATGGAGAACGTGTTCTATAAGGTAATTTGCTGTTGCTGTTTTCAGAAGATATTAGGTGAGATCTGGTCCTTTGTTGTTGGATCATTATAGTTCATGGTTAAGCACCAGCAGTAGGTTTAGATGTATCTTGTGGGGCTGGAGAGATGGCTCAGTAGTTAAGAGCACAATCTCCTCTTCCAAAGGTCCTGAGTTCAATTCCCAGCAACCACATGGTAGCTCAAAACCATCTCCAATGAGATCTGGTGCCCTCTTCTGGCCTCCAGGCATACATGCAGGAAGAGTACTGTATAAATGATAAATAAATAGATGTATCTTGTGCTAATTTATTTATTTACCCACTATCCTTTGATAGACATTGGATTTTAGTTTGTATTTTTCCCATTTCAAAGAACAACACTTGATTGATTTTATACATATCTTTATATATATATATATATATATATATATATATAATAAAGTGATATATATGTCTATATATATGTATAGATATATATCTATATGGACTCATATCAACTTTGGTAATTTTACACATGTTTGTGATTATCTAGTAGGAAACAAAATAAATCTTTGATTTTCTCAAATAAGTGTAGTTCATTAGTTTAATCAAGCTATCAATAAAAGCCATAAAATGGATTCTTATTTGAGTGCCAGAGGAGATGCTGTATGACACTTTTGGCTAAGTTCAAACTGTCTGAAATGAGTATATATATATATATATATACCCGATTGATTTTTTTTTTTTATTTACTTTTGCTTCTAATGGTATCCAAATGAAAAATTCATCTGTTGAGCCATGCATTTTTACTGGGCCATCTTATCTATTATATAACTGATATTTTGCCATAATTATTCATTTTATAAATAAATTTCTACATCCTGTTTCCTTTAAATTTAAAAACACTTGATGAAAGAGGTATAATAATTATCATACCTATTACTATTATCATCACATTTTTTAAGATTCATAAAATGGTGAGGTTAAGAGCCATGTCCATATTTGAAACTCTACTAACCTCTCAGAATATACTACATACCATTAATATTTTATAAGAACCTTTAGGGATAATAGAGCAGACAAATGTGTTATCATTCCTTTGAAAATACTGATTAAAATTTAAATTTATTCCTCAGTTCCATCTCTCTTATGCAGAGAAAGAATTGCTGGAGAGAGAGCCAAGAGGAGAAGCGCACCAGGAAGTTCTGAGGCGAGCGGCCAAAGACCTTCCCATCTATACCAGGACCATGTCCGGAGGTGAGCAGCTATAATGAGGACATTGGAACAGCACCCAAGCGAGGCGTAATGACCTTTAGAGAGCACATTCATAAATACATAACACATACGTTTATGAATACATAAACTGTGAAACCCTGGTTTCTAAATGTTGTTGCTGTTTCTTGGGTTGCTATTAAATCTCTCCTGTATACTTCCATAAAACAGAACGGAAACATGAGTCATAGGTGGCACGGAGATCTCAGAACTGACTCTAATTCTGTTCCTCCTCCTACTGTGTCGTGACTTGGTGACGGCATGAGGACTGCTTAGGTCTGTACCTGCAGCAGAAGACTTGCTTTTAAAGTTTTAATTATAAACCTTTCTATTTATGTTGAAAGAAACTATATCTACAATAGGCAGAAAGCTAATAACTTTGCAAGTATTTTTTAAATAAGATTAAAGCACTAATTATATGTGAATTGTGTAAAACATAATTTAGGTATTGCTATCGGTTTTTAAAATGGAAACTGTTATACAAATATATTAATAGAAAGCCTGCTTAGCTTATATTTAAGGTAACTTAACATCTAATTAAGTCATTGTCTTAAAAAAAAAAAAAAACAGCACACATGAACTATATATAATTACTACCAAGACTTCCCAGACATGTCTTGTAGCTTTAAAGCTCTGCCTCCTCCCCCTTATGACCCATTAGCCCCATTGTCTGCCCATTACTTAAAATATGGCTATACCAAGGTGAAAATTCTTAAGTATAAGATACACAAATGCTTTCAAAGATTTAGCATGAAAACATAAAATGCCAGGGTGGAGAGGAGATGGCTCAGCAGTTAAGAGCACTCTCTGCTCTTCCAGAGCTCCTGAGTTTAACTCTCAGCAACCACGTGGTGGCCCACAAACATCTAAAATGTGATCTGGTGCCCTCTTCTGGCATGCAGGTGTACATGCAGATAGAGCACTCATATACATAAAAATAAGTCTTAAAACAAAAAGAGAAAATATAACATGCCTGATTAATGTTCCTATATGATTTACATTTGCTTTTAGATCACATTAGAACCATATTGAGTCTACATTTAACACAATTTTCACTGTAATCTAGTGCACCCTCTGAGGCTTGTGTAGAAATACCATCTCCAAATCAGTCATCCAGATAGACTGTGCCATCTGAACTATTGAAGAAAAAATGCCATTGTTACCTGCAAGAGCTAAAAGCTTTGACACGTGCCTGTAATCCCAGCACACGGGGAGGCAGAGGTGGGCACATATCTGTGAGTTTGAGCCAAGCTGGGTCTATGAAGTGAGGACAGGACAGCCAAGGCTACACAGAGAACCTCGTCTCCAAGACAAACAAAATAACAAAACAAAATAAGTTAAAAAAAAAATACTAAAATCTCCTATTGTAAATGCTTCTTCCACCACTTGTTTATACACACTATTGAATCATAATTAACAGAGATGTGAGGTCGTTTCCAATTTATCTAACTTATAGAATGTATTTAAACATTCTGGAATGTGTCTCTGAGGTGTGTCCTCACCCAGTTAGACACAGGAATAAATCGATGTAGCTGAGGGAGACTTTCTGTTGACCTGTAGAAATGAACACAGCTTTCCCTTGAGCTATAGCTATTGATGCTGGAGAGCTCTTTAGACAAGTTCCAGGAGGTCTCCTGTTCTTGGGAGAACTCTCCAGAAAAGTCTGTCTCTAGGCAAGTGTTTTAATCCTCTGTATTTAAAATGGCTTGAATATCTTATTTATTTTTTGACTAATTTAAATTTCAGTATGCTTTGTGGAGTTTAAATTTGGAGTGGTGCTTAAAAACCAGTTAATTGTTTTTTTTCAGTGACTTAGAGACTAAGTGAGCTCTTTGTTCCTAGCAATCCGATATTGTGACAGATGCCAACTTATAAAACCAGACCGCTGCCATCACTGTTCCGTCTGTGATAAGTAAGAAAATCTTTGCTTTTCTGAAAGTGCATGGTCGTGTTGTTCAGTATTGCATAACTGCTTTCCAGATTATCATTAGAGCCCACATTCATGCTTTTTGGCCACTATTTAGATACATGAGTTGAATTTTTCCTTGTATTAAGAGCAGTGTAGCTTATGCCACAATTAATGTTGTTTCCCCAGGTTTAGGGATTCTCGTATGGCAAGTTCAACTTAGCAAATGCTACTTCTGTGAGTGTTTTCCACCTTTAAAAGGACACCTCGATTGAGTCCACATACTTACATACTATTGTATATTTAATACGTAAGAGGAACAGTTAAACTTGTCCTAAAGATTGATAGTAAAGAACAAATTTTATATAGACTGTAAATCTACTGGTGGTTTGTACTTTTTAATGCAAAGCAGTCTTGTATTAATGCAAAGAAACTGATTTGTATCTTAAGGAATGTACATTTTGAAGTTTTATTATTCTATTAAAACTCGAGTCAGCTATAGTGTCTGTTTTAAATGAGAATGGCTGCTCTTACTGGATTTCATTTTTAAATAAGTAATTCTGTAGAATTTTATATGCTACAGCTGTTGAAAATATTTTCTTTTTCTAATGAACATCACCAAGTGTCATGTTTTATTTTTGGGTATTTTTAGATGTATTTTGAAGATGGATCATCATTGCCCATGGTGAGTATAAACCTATACTTAAAACAAGCCTCTGTCAGTTATTAAATTAATATCAATTGAAGCACTTTTTACAAGTCTCTTTATTAACTGGTTACCTTACTTGTCCTAGGAGGCACTTTCAGGTTTCGTTTTTAATACCTAATTAACTTCAAATGAGCCTTCATGTGGGGGAATTTCTATTAAATAATTTTAGAACTAGTGTGTTAATACCATGAAAGTTAATTTTATATATTTTACATGTGCAAAGTATATTCTTTTATGCAAACACATAAACACAAGTGCACTAAAATACTTTCCAGAAATGTAAGTATCTATATATTAATTATATGCAGCAATACCTCAGTAGAAGTTTATAATAAGCTTTTAATGACTTATTTTCAAGGAAACTGCATTGAGGGACAGAATAGTAAATATACAGATACGCAGATATGGTTAAACAAGATTTTCTACTTAGAACTCGTTCATGCTTTTTTTCGAAGTCATTAAGTTCAGCGCCTTTACGGAGGGCTATGGGAAATGCCTGCTGAGGAAGGTCACTTCTCCCACTCTTGTTTTTCATTCTGTGTACATGTTAGTCATGTTAAGGTGGCCAAGGCTGAACTCAAGCATTAATTATGATTATTGAGTGAATTTCTTTCTTTCAGGGGTGACACACTGAGGAGATATGAATGCTCACAAATCCACACTAGGCAGTTTGCAGTGCATATAGGTAATGATTTTCCTAGGAACAGGGAGGAATAGGGGGAGATTAATGGTTGATGCATCCTGGATCTCTTACTGTTACACCTCTCCCTTCAGCGGGGTTCCTGCTTGAAAGTGTTAAGGGTAGTCAACTCCTATCAGAATGCTGATCTTCTTTAAAACATCTGCCTACTTGACCCCTCTTTGTACTAATTTATACTTGTGTTTGGTCTTTTGCTCACCATTTTTGTCTCTCAGAATATTGTCCTACCCAACCAATACCCTCAATTACAGGTTTTCCTGGCTTCCATCCCCCACCTTTCTGTCATCCAGTGCTCCCAACAGTACCATGTGAGTTTTCTTGTAGTGAGGACTCCTCCATTTGATGACATCCTTACGTCTTAGGAACCTGTCTGTGCTCCTTCACTTCCCGCTCAGGGCTTTCCTTTACCTGAATGAGATGAGATGACTCACCTCGCAGCATGGTCAGTTCAGAACTACCAGGACATGAGTACCTCTAGGACCATCCTTCAGCCAGCGAGAGCCTGGCTAACAACTCAACTCTATTGACATTTTTCCTCTCCTTCTATGGCACTGGGGGTCAAACCCAGGACTTTGAACATGCCGGGGAAGCTCTCTGTCCTAAGCTACATCTCCAGCCCTTCTTCAATTGTTTATCTAAAGACAAACACAAAAACCTACCCACCTATATCGAAACTGTTGTCCCAGAGGAGAACTCATATTGAGCATTCTCCTGTCTAGATTTCTGTGCAATCTAAACACAATTGTCAGTTTGTAAAATAATCAGGGCAGAGAGCCTACACAAAGGTTCTTGGTTGTTGTTGTTGTTGTTTTTTTTTCCATTTTAATGAAAAATTGTGATAATAAAGAATGGAGAGGTAGGAACAATCAGATTTCTCCCAAGCCAGTGCACACAATAGCTCTTACCATCCATTGTTAGAAGCATAAGCTTCCCAAAATAGAAAATAATGACTCAGGATTGGAGCAGTCTTTCTAAACCAGCAATTAATGCAGTGGAACAAGAAACTGGAGGATAATTTAACAATCTTTCCAACTTTGACAGATCCTATTAAGCAGGTAAAAAGAATAGCTAGACAGCTGCAGCTATTAAAAGATAAGCTTCTACAGCATGACTTCTTTGATCTCAAGTTTATTGAACTGTTTCCTGCACTGACGTTTCTTAGGCTGCTGCCTTTGTTCCCACACCATCTTCCCTGCACTCCTCCTGCAGAAATCAGCAGCGTTATCAGTATATGAAAGAATGGATCCCAAAGTATCTCATTTTCATCAGGTGTCAAGTCAATGGCATAGCCGACATTTTTTTTTTTTTTTTGGAAGATGGAATGAGCTGGGTGCTAACCTAGCATGCATGAGGCCCTGTGTTTAATCTCTAGCATCACAAGGAGAATTTAAGAATTTAATTTAAAAATATAGAGAGCTAGGAATGTGTCCCAGTGGTAGAGTACATGTTTAGTGTATGATAAAATCTGGGTTCAACATCAGCATACCCCCTCCCCCAAAATTACAGATAAAGCATAGAGTTCAAAAGCAAAGGCAATGCATATGTTTTCTCATGTCTGTTTTTTTGTTTTTGTTTTTGTTTTTTTACTTCTTCCCTAATCACACAGAATCTCTGTTGGTATTGTTGTGGCTACTGCTTAGGTCTAAATGTATCCATGTATATGGTCGTATATCCATACATATATTTGTGTGGCCTTTCTCTTAAAAACAAACTACAAATGGCTACAGAGTTGATAGAGTGGATATGTTTCATTTTGACATTCAATATATTCTGGAACTGTTTCCACTTTAGTAAATCAAAATATTCTTACAGCTGTTATGTGAATATAATTTATCACAGGGCTTTTAGGATACTACCAGATTATACAGCTGCTTTTTTTTTTTTTAATAGACCTTGCATACGGTTGTGAACTTTAGAGATCATATCAACTTGGAGCATTTTAAACGTTAGTTAAACAGTGCCTATCTGCTTTGCTTTCAGTGATTTGCAGGTCCTCTTGGGCACTTAAAATTACCCATTAGGATTTAGGAGATCAGTCTCACACATGTCATTTTAGCTAAATTAGAGTTTTTGTAGTGTTTTTTATTGGAGGAATGATTTTACTTTTAGCATAAAATTTTAATTAATTATACTTATACTACTTTGGTATGCCTACCTAATAACTTCCTCAAATAAAAGTAAATAAATTTAGCCTCGATATATTGAATGCCCAATGTATTTTAAAGACCATACATTAAAAAAAAAAAAAAAAAGTTATCGTTACATACCAATGACAGAAAGAAGCCAATTATTTGTCCTGAGGCTCAGAAGAGTGAACTCAAAGTCAGACAACTAGTTTTGTTTAGGGGCCTGAAAAGCTACTTCTCTTCTAATACATTACATTATATTCTCTTTCTAGTTTAGATTTAGATAACAGTTTCTGTGAAACAGCCAACAGCTCTGCTTTACACCAAACTAAAATTTCACAACCCAAAATGTGTTCTTTCTACATTAAAGCCATTGCTATACTTCCTGGGAGGTACTCCTCAGGCCACACTGAGGAGTACAGTGTGGCCTACAATAGGACTACAATAGGGAGTTAGGATGTCTAACTAAGAGCTGTCATGAAAAAAAGTATGTTGCTTTGGTTCAATATAAATACTCCTCCTCTGATTCCTCTTGGAATATACCTTCCAGAATCTTCTATGTATGTAGAGCGAATGGTGATCAAATGGTGATTCCACATTCTGTATTCTTGGTTCTTGCATGGCAAATTACCCCAGTGGTCTTAAGCATGAACTACAGTAAGCTGAATCAGATGTTATTAAAACCTGATCGAAACCATCTTTTTATAAAAATGATCTCTTTATCATTTAATAAGAACCTTTCAGAAAGAGGAGCAACTGTCACAATAACTCAGTTGACAAGTGTCCTTGCTTATACCCACTCTGCCCCAAAGTCCACCTTTATTTAGCCACTCTACTTCTTGAAATCAACACTAGTAAGCAAAGGCAATATTCTGCATTCTTTGGAGAGAGATCATATTAGAGGAAGCCTGTGCAGGACTGTTTCCAATATTCTTTCTTGCCATTATTCTATTCCAGTGTCATAAAAAGCAATCTCAGAGATTTGTTTACCTTCCCACTGGGCCCTCTAAAGCTGCAGACATAAACATTAACAAGTAATATGCACCTGCAATTTAGCTTATTTCTGAATTGCTTCTCTATGGACAAGACCTTTAAATTCAAACTTACTCAATCTCCAGCTGTTCCTTGTGGCTTTTGAAATACAGAAACAGTTTTTGTGAACATGGATTGTTGTTTTTTTTAATCAAGAAAAGGAAAAAAAAAGTATTTTTGTTTTTATTACCAAGGTTGACAGAGAGAGGAGAGGAGAGGGGGGAATGGAAAGGAGAACTTAAGAGGGAACAAGGACTGTATGTAATAGGTTTGTCATCCCAGCTAACTATGAGTTAATTCTATCATATATATCAACTAGTTTAGCCATGGAGGCTGTTAACATTTGCAGAAGATCATGGAGTCATGCCCTTGTTTAATGGAAAACAGAGAAAACAGCTACACAATGAAATGTACTCATTTTTGTGTTGTCGCTATTTATAGTTGTGATTCTACCCTCCCTCCACCCATCATATAATGATTTTAGAATAGGAATTTAGGATTTAATTAAATTTTCATATTTGGAATCATAGAACATAGAGCTGCATTTCAGAAATTATCTGAGCACTTATTTTCTAGGAAAGTAACCGAGATTCTAGTTCACATCCTCAGTCACATAATTATCTAATATCAAATAGACATTACTCCTCCTTTTCTTAATTCTTCCATTTAATCCTCTCTGATAATTTTATTGCCTTCATAATGGCATGAAATGAGGAGTATTGAAGGGACTTCATCCAAATTGGGGAAAATTAAAAGAATTTAACCTACTTAATCATAGTTGGAAATAGAATCTAGAGATAACCTAGTAAATTCCCCAAATCTGCCTGACTTTGTAGGGTCTGGCACAAACTGTCTGTCTTTAGGTGTTTGTTTGTTATTTTATGTAAATCATTGTATATGCGGTGTAGTGACATTAACTGTGATTGGTTAAAGCAATATTAAGTGTATCATAGATTGAATATCTGAGTGCAAGAAAATTCCTTTTCAATATGTTAGAAAATGCTATGGCTCATCATGAATAAAATGCTAATGAGTTTTAAATGAACATAACCCAAAACCTATGCTATGTTTAAACGTATTTTCCCTAGATTGAAGATGTAACTCATTAAGACTATTTTTGTTTTATTGGCAGGGTGAACAATTGTGTCGGATTTTCAAATTATAAATTCTTCCTCCTTTTCTTGGCTTACTCTTTGCTGTACTGCCTTTTCATTGCTGCTACAGACTTACAGTATTTTATCAGATTTTGGACAGTAAGTCATTACTTCAGTGGCTTTTCTATATACAAACATTCACTAGTGAGTTACTTCAGACTCTGAATTTCTAAGGTTACTCTGTGTAGTCATCAGTCCTCGTTATTCACAGTCTGTATTTGTACATTCACCTTCTCAAGATATATTTGTAACTTCCCAGCCAATGTACTCAGAGTTTTTCCTAGACATGTAGTTTCTAGACATGTACATATTTGCACAGTGCACATGTGTGTTCTTACTAAGATAAACCATCTGCATCTCTGCAGCCTGCAAACAAGGTTGTTCTCCCATGGTCCGTTGGCTTCCATGTTTTGTTGTGGGGATTTTTGTTTGTTTGTTTGATTGATTTGTTTCACCTTTTGCTGATATTTGCAGTATAAAATGATCTTCACACATGCCGATGAAGTACTATCTATCGTTTCTAAATGAGACTGATGTGTCTTATGGAGAAAACACATGCTTCATCCAGACATTAATTATAGCACTGTTGTTCAGAATTTCCATATTAGTAAGTCAAGGTAATATGTTAAACAAGGGGCATTCAGACAGAACCCAACATCAAACAAGGTTGTGAACTGGTTAGTAGATGCCCAAGGCATCATGAGAAGAGAAAAACAACCCCATGTTTCCCCAAGATCCAGTATTCATGGATCCATTGTTGAAGATGACCCTTTTCAGCACGACAGCAAATAATGAGAATTGAGTAGATAAGCAGATGTTTTTCTCAGTATTTAAAAACTGAGGTATTGTCTCCACATGTGTTAGATTAAATTTTAAACCTTTACATCTGCAGTGTCCCAAATTTTTTATTACATATTCTATTAATAAGCTTTAGGTAATTCATTTGTTTTTTTCACTATATATTTTAAAGTAAAGCAAAGCAAAATTATGGCATATGTAAATGATCCAGAAACATTCCTAGAGAACATGAAATGATGGTAAGAAAGCATTCTACTCCTTGCCAGGATTGCTTTCTCACTGAATCTTCTTTTATTTTCATTAAGTTATCTCCCATAATGGCAAAATATTTCTGAATTGCTGGGTAATTTACATAATATTTAAACCAAGCTTAACGCTAAAGATTTATCGAATGCGTACTTTGTCCTTGTCCCATTGCTAAGAAACGCATGTATGTGGGTGTGTTTCTAGCATGAATGTCTTCCAAACTGTCATTTCACTGCCCTCCATTCCTATGGGTAGTTTTCATTCTAAACCTCAAACACACCTGGACAGGAAAGACCAAAGTTTCTGTTGCTCATATGTTACTGTCAAAAGCTGCCTGCTGAGGTCTTGTCACCTACGGGAATGGCGACTACTGCAGGGAGGTGAAACACTGCGATCATGTCAGAATGGGAGGCCCCTGGCATCTCTGGTGCTCTACTGAATGTTAGGACCCCAGCCCTTCACTCGAGAGCCAGCCCTCCCCTCTTGGATATGCAATCAGTCAGGGGCAAACAGGTTTTGCAGAGCTGGCTGGTTTCAAATATGGGCAATAAAATTTTTATGTCAGACAGCTTGTTACTGATATTGATCTTTTCTGTGATGCTGTTAACAGAACTTGAAACATTATTTTGGAGGTGTGTCTTCTGTATTCTTTTAATTGATAGTGTTGTCTATACTAATCTAAAGTATCAAGAAGAATAGAAAATAAATTATGCCAACTAACCTATATTTTTCTGGCATTAAAATAAAATCATTGAAACATTTATGAATATGAGGCATGCTAATAACCTGTTCAGGCAGTAAATTTAAAGCTCCATTTTATAGGTTGGTTTTTTTTTTTAATTTTGTTTCTCACCAGTATAGTTTATGCTGCCATTTTTTTTTTTTAGGACTTGACTTGGTTATGCAAAGCAAAATAAACAATACATTTTAATCTTTTCTGAATATATATTCATATTTTAGTAAGCCTTTAATTTAATATGAAATGTTTACCTGTCTCCTTAAGTTTTATCATGAAGCCATGTGTCACTTTCCATTTCTAAATTATTTAAAGAAAACAATCATATTATCTAATTAATAAATGTAGGGGAATACTCATCCATCCCTTTGACAAAATGTTTTCTTTTCTGCCTTTCCTTATAGAATGGTCTGCCTGATACTCAAGCCAAGTTCCATATTATGTTTTTATTCTTTGCTGCAGCTATGTTTTCTGTCAGCTTGTCCTCTCTGTTTGGTTATCATTGTTGGCTAGTCAGCAAAAACAAATCAACATTAGGTGAGTATCCAATTATTACGGAGAACAGAACTTTAAATACATATGCAGTCACTCATAAAAAGTTGTCATATGAGTAAATGTCATCAATACGTCTTGAAATAGCAAAAAAAAAAATAACCTTTCTTATTTGCCACATGTTTTGTAATGTCATATAGGCCTATGTCCATTCTTTGCATATATTAATTGACTGTGCATGGCGTGCAAAGCAGGATATGTGCCGAGTGGAGAGCTAAGGAGCACGAAGGCAAAAATCAAACAAAAGGAAACAAGGAAACAAACAGGCATGAAGTATGGTGGAAGGGCTGGAGACAGTGCTGTTTGGAATGAGTTGTCAAGGAGGACCTCAAAACACCAAGAAATACTCAGTCTGAAAAGTTAACCATAGAAAGGGCCAGAACATGGTAGGCACAGAACAGGGTCTGTTAAAAAGTGATGGCTAATGGTAATTGTTAAACAAAATCTAGAATCACGTGAGAGATGGGCCTCTGAGCATGGCTGGATTATCTCAGTTACCCTAACTGCGGTTCGAAGACCCACCTACTGTGGGTGACATCATTCTCTAGCTGGGATCCTGAGCTGTATAAATGGAGGAAGGGACTGAAGAGCAGTGTCCGTTCATTGTCTTCTCCATCTGACTGTGAACATACTCTACCCACTAGTTTTACACTCCTGCCCCCGCAGTTTCCCTGCCATGGCGGTCTGCAGCCTGGAACTGCGAGCCAAATAAGCTCTTTCTCCCTTAAGTTGCTCTCATCAAAATAGTTATCACAGCACCAGGGAAAGAAAGGTAGACATAAGGAACTAAGTAGGGCTTAGAGGAAAAGTACCATTGCAGATATGCATAGGGAAAATGAAGAAATATCTCAACCAGTAACGACATAGTGTGATGAGCCAGTAAAAGGAGAGGAGCATAAGGCCAAAGCAAGCAAAGAGAAGAACTTTATGAATATGGAAGATAATAGGAAGTTAAAAAAAAATAAATGAAGGCCAATAACTATTATCTTTAATGTAACTTATTTGTCAAGGCTTGCCTAGGGAAGAAAGTAAAAGAGTTATTACCAAAATTAGTGGCAAGGGTAGCATCATCACCAACTTCACAAATGTGGAAAAGATTTTGAGAGGATTGTATGAACCGCTGCCCATTGGAAGAACAGGTTAGCTAGGTGTGATAGAAAATGACCAGAAACAAAGCACCAAACTGACTGAATAAATGACAAGGCCATATAAGGCAAGACCCTGTCTAATAAAGACATTTTTGTTTTGTTTTGTTTTGTTTTTAAAGCTGAACATCCAGGAGCAACAAAGGCTTAAGATTTCCTAGTATCAGACTCTGCTAGTTAGATTTTCTCTCCAAAACGATGGATAAAATCTTTATACTTCTAAATGTGTTCATGTCCTAAAGTTCAGATTTTAGAATTTGCTTTAAGGGTTACTCAAGAGGAAAACACTGTGTTGTAAAAAAGAACAGTGATGGCCTTGTCATCATGAAGTTCCACATCTGTATTTACTCATGTGACTATGGGCAATTCTAATGTCTTTTGGACCATAGCTTTGATACACAGAGTGGACATAACCAGATATGACTGTTTGGGGATTGTATTTTTGTTTGGAACAAGCTAGCTGTAAAGTACACTTTTAGGTCAGCTGGAAAAATTATGATGAAATAAAAATTTCAGTGAAGTTTAAAAATGGAGTTTACTGACTTAAAAATGTTATCAAGTATATGTAAAATATATTCACACTTTGTTAAAAACAGATTTGAGTATTTCAGTGTGATTCAGTCTCTCTACCCTATTTATAGTCAGAAGACCTAGAAGGTGAGCTTGTAGGATAGCTCAGTGGTAAAACAAACAAACAAACAAACAAACAAACAAACGGAAAAAACAAAACACTTACCATAAAGGTTGATAATCAGTTCAATCCTAAATTCTACATAAAGCTAGGAGAGCCATTTCCAGAGCAGTCCCTTGACCTGTACATGCACACACACTGATAATAAATAAAACAAAAATCTGGAAGGTGTAAATTTTAGTTTATTCACTCATTTGTATTTTCTGATTTTCTCTTTTGCACATGTATTCTTATAATAGTGAAAAATTAAAATATACTTACTCATTTCTTAATATTTTAAACCAGAATAGACTACCTGCATTTCAGAACTATGTATACATTTTTTGTTTGTTTTTGTTTTTTTAGTAAATGTTAGTTTATTTACTACTGAAAAATAAGGACAAATGCTGTCAGCATTCTAAAAACTTATTCAATGTCCTCCTTGATCAATATATTTTTTAATTTTTTTTCTTCACAATTTATTCATTATATATCCCGATGGAAGCCACCTCCCTCAACTCTCCCAGTCCCACTGTTCCTCCCTTTTCCCGTCATCCCCTTTTCCTAGTCCACTGAAAGAGAGTTCTCCACTATTGCCATCTGCCCATAGCTTTTCAAGTCTCATCAGGACTACTTGGAGCCTCTTCCTCCATGGCCTGGCAAGGCTGCATTATCAGGGGCCAGTGATTAGAGAACAGTCAACTGAGTTCATGATAGAGGCAGCCCTTGCTCCCCTCACTCAGAGATCCACATGGAGACTGAGCTGCCAATTGGCTACATCTGAGCAGGGGTTCTAGGTCCTCTCCATGCATGGTTCTCTATTGGAGTCTCTGCAGGACTCCCTGGGCTCAAATCTTTTAGTTTTGTTGATCTCCTTGTGGGGCTCCTATCCCCTCCATGACCTTCTAATCCCACCCCTCTCTTCCTGCATAAGACTCCCTGCTCTCTAACCAAAATTAGCCTTATGGATACGTTCTTGAGTACTCTCAGGATGCTGCCCATTGGTTGTTAGAATTCCTTCATTTTATTTGTTTCAGTATTAGGGGTTGCTAGTATATGCATTTTGCATTCATGGTATTACTCTCTGTTTCTTTTAGAGGCATTCAGAAATCCAGTGTTCAGACATGGAACAGATAAAAATGGATTCAGCTTGGGTTTCAGTAAAAACATGCGACAAGTTTTTGGTGATGAGAAGAAGTACTGGCTGCTACCAATATTTTCAAGGTACTTTGTTCTGGAAGGTTTTTATTTAAACTAATGAAAATAAGTAAACAAAAGAGAGTTAAATCTGTTGTTTTCTGCACAAGACCTTCTAGAGCAGTGGTTCCAGACCTGTGAGTCACAGCCCCTTCAGGGGGGTGAAGGACCCTTTCACAGTGGTCACAGATACAATAACATTATATCAGATATTTACATTAGGATTTAGAGCAGTAGCAAAATTATAGTTATGAAGTAGCAACAAAATAATTTTATGGTTGGGGGTCACCACAACATGAGAAACTGTATTAAAGAGTCAGAGCCTTAGGAAGGTTGAGGACCACTGCTCCAGAGTATGAATTAGGGATTCGCTTTTGACTGTGGAAAGCCATTAATGCACTGACCCACATGTTCTGCCTATTTCCTCATTGTTTTTAATTACAGTCAAGGTGACGGCTGTTCCTTTCCAACTTGCCTTGTTAACCAGGATCCTGAACAACCATCCACTCCCGCAGGACTAAATTCAGCAGCTAAAAAGTAATGCTACATTTTTTTTCTGTTTTATTTTCAAGGGATGCATTTTATTCTGTTGTATCTTTTGGTTCCGTGTTCCTTTGAGAAAAGGGTGTCAAGGGTGAAGGAAATTTTACTACAGTGGTTTCCACTTGCAGTGATGGAGGGAGGCAGTGGTATAATAAGGAGGATACACAGTTTCAGTTACATTCTTACAGTTCTGTTCGTAGTGCTGGAAGGAAGAAGACAGGTGTTAAATCTCTAAAACATTTTAGTTGAATAAAATATATTATGATATTTGGTTGTGAGCATAGTGTTTTATGGCTGAGCCATCTCTCCAGCCCAAAATATGTTATGATTTTTGAGAGGCAGTATTTAAACAAACACTGTAAGTTAAAAAAAAAAAAAATAGTTCCTCTCTGCCCCTCTGACAAGTCAAGGTAGGATTCCTCTGTCAACCTCTGGGTCTTTCATCTGTGGTAATGTTTACAAGGTTAAAGACAATTCCTTAATTGGACTTTTGGAAATCAAAAGGATCTCCAGGCATCCATTTGACAGTTTAGGGGGGCTCTGAAAGGCCTCTAAATCCTACCTGAGTTCACATGCAAGGGTGCGAGTGTGGTGTGTGTGTGTGTGCATGCAGGCTATGTGTTTTCCCAAAAGAAAGCGAAAGTGGTTTGAAAATTCACTGTGTGGAATCTTTTGCTTAAGATTGTTTGGCTGCTAGTCTGTCAAGGATTTGGGGATAGCAACATGAAGATAAGTTTAATCCTGACTTTGTGCTAACTGGAGAAAGGAAAAAAGTATAAAACCATTCAAGTTGCTGTATAGGAATTTTCTTTCTTTTTAATGAAACATGATTATAGCCTCCTGTTTTTTGTTTTTTTTTTTACTTTTGTTTTTGTTTTAGAAGGATACATATGCCTTACTGGAATTTTTCTAAGATATTTATTTATTTTATTTGTGTGTATAAGTGCTTTGCCTACATGTATGTAGGTATATGCCCTTTAGGCTTGCCTGGAACCCCAAAGTTGCAAAAGGGAGTTAGGTACTCTGGGATTTGAGTTACAGACAGTTGTGAGGCACCGACTATATACTGGGAACTAAGCACAGGGCCTCTGCAAAAGCAGGAAGTGCTCTTAACTGCTGTGCCATCTCTCGTCCCCTATATAAAAATTTCCCATGGTTTGAAATACTAATTTTTATATATTTATATGAATAACACACTCTGATTTTTAAATGAAAGTCAAAACTATAAAGTCAAATCATAATATTATTTATACAATTTTAGAGGTTTTTTTATTCCTATAATTTCAGATGCACAGGCCCACACACCCTTTAAATATTTCATATTGAGTACAGTGGATTCTGGAGTGTTTCCAGAATTTTCAAGGCTGTGATCCTGGCAAACATTCAAAAATCACATTAAGTTTTAAAAGACCTAAAACATACTTATTGCTCTATCTTTAGTGTGAACTGTGTACACATCAAGCTCTACTCATTAGTGAGAAAGCTGTTCACAGAGACGTTCAAAGGCATGACCCAGTCACTTCCTGGGTCAAACTTGATGCACTTTGGCTTGAAAATTATATATGGTTAAATGTTAATGGATTTTCCTATACATCAATTCAAGAAACTGGATTCTAATAAATTATTTAAGATATGTTTTCAAAGTTTTGCAAAATTTAATAGTAGATTACATTAATGTTTTTGACCCCCTCTTAAATGGCTTTTGTACTTTAGGAATCTGTAGGTTTCAGAAGCAGCATTTTCTCCATCTTCTATGTACTGTGTCAGTGGTTTTCAGCCTTACTAAAGCTGTAACCCTTTAATACAATTTCTCATGTTGTGGTGACCTCAAACTATAAAATTATTTTTGGTGCTACTTCATACCTGTGTTTTGAATTCTAAGGTATTTGAATTGTAATGTAAGTATCTGATATGCAGGATAGCAAATATGTGGTCCCTCCCCCACCCCAAAGGAGTCACGATCCACAGGCTGAGAACCTGTTGGGGAAAATCTTACTTCGGACAGAATTACCCTGCTAGCTGAACTTGAATGTGTCCTCAAGGCGCATTTCCTCTCTTTCATTTAAATGTTTGAGGCTGAATTTGAATGGCTAAGAGGGATCATGAGTTTAAAGCCAGTTTGGGCTGTTTAGCAGGTTTAAGACTAGACTGACCTACGAGACAGACTGCTCCAAAATCAAAGGCCAGAGACACAGTTCAGTGGTAGAACTCGAGCCTATTATATCTGCAAGGTCCTAAGTTTGATTCCTTAACACTGCAAAAATTATATTTATACACACACACATATATATATAATTAAATTTTTCCTGTGCATATATGAATGCTTTCTTAGCACTTGCAGTCATGTGTGAGCATGCGCACACACAACCTTGCTTACTGCTTTCATGGCTGCTTTGGCGAGCTAGGCCACCATTACTTTACCCATAGATAATTTCAACAGGTTTCTAACTGGTCTCCCTTTGGGCTGTGTCTTCTCTCGCTTCTAGTTCTTCAACAGATCTTATCAAATCATATACATATATGTATACGATATATCTCACAGCTAACAAATGTGCTTGCCTGGCCTACTAGACAGTTTCGGATCTGCCCTTGAAAACTTTTGATGTTATTCCTTCTCACTTTCTCATCGTTTCCAACCCGCAAACACGAAGGTCTTCTAAACTCTGCACTCGGTACATCACATTGAGGGCCTTTGTACGCCAGCTCTTCTCTGTTCACGAGCAACTACCTTAAGAACCAAGGCGGGTGGGTAGAGAGTCAGACAGACTTCCGTGTTACTGTGTGATGGCTTTAAACTCCTTATCTTCCTGGCTTTGCTTCCCCAGTGCTGGACTTGTAGGTGTCTGATACCCCTCCCTGTATATGAGAGGCCATGTTCAATAACATTTGGACAACAATATTTCATTATAAGGGGCAGCATAGGAAATCATTGAGTTTATGATTATTATCTGAATATATGTGTATTAGTCTTTCACCTTTAATGATAAAATTTCCATGAGTATGAAGGCTTCATTCTTTCAAATAATAGATACATAATAAATATCATTACAGGACTAGATTTGTTCTAATCATATTAGCAGTAATGAATTCTCAAGAAATCCCTCAACCAGTAGTTAATTAATATGTTGTGCTTGTCCTATTATCCCTTTCCCGACAAATTAGAATATTTAACATAGAAGTAATGTTTTATATATATATATGTGTGTGTGTGTGTGTGTGTGTACAGACTGTATAGACATACTATTTTAAAGATTTGCTACTTTTAATCAATTTAATTTATTAATTTATTACATTAAAATTAATAACTGTGCTGAAGCCACATAAAATAAATTACTGTATTCAGAAATTTTTAGATGTAAGGCAGTTATCATGGTGCAAAACCTTATCCTCATAGCCTTAAAAATAATCATTATAATTAGCTGAAACATGTTAAATTATCCTTGGAAAGATTTTAAAGCGGTTCTTTAAAAAAAAAAAAAAAAAACTTGTTATAATTATACAAGGGGATCCTAAAAGAGTTTCTGTGTTAATACATGTCCATAAATTAAGTAGTCTTTTATGTTTACTTTCTGTGCCATCAAATATGCTGTCATATAGCAGATTTAACTAATTTTTTTTTAAATTATTTTTTCAAGACTCTTAACTTCCCAAATTGTATATTAGGTTGCTGGGATCTGATAAGATCAGATGCCTTCAAAATTCCTGTACAATATGGTTCAACTTTGTCTAACTTACGAAGGGACAGTAGTTCTTAGTTCAAGCTGATTTAGGTCACTTGCTGAACACAAAGGCAATTTTTCTCCTTGACTTTTCTTCTTGGCATCTTCTTCATATTCCCTCCATACACACATACCACTTGATAAAGTTAATATATCTTTTCCTAACTTGACTATTGAATGGGGGGGGGGTACTAGCACATGTATTTGCATTTCCACACGTGTGTGGTGCGTGCGTGTTATAGGTGCATATATAGGTGTTCCCCCCGCATGTGGAGACTCTAGGCTGCCTCTGGAGTCTTCTTTGATCTCTTGCCACTTTACTCATCAAGACAAGGATCTTTCAGTTGATTCTATAGCTCATCGTGTTGGCCAGCCTAACTAGCTTATTTGCTACAGGAAAACCCTCTCTCAGTCTACTGAGCACTGACATTCCAGATGGGCTCTCACCCCCACCTTGTATTTATATGGATCCGGGGATCTGAACCCTGGTTCTCATGTGTGAATGCAAATGCTTTACCCACTGAGCCGTATCCACGGCCCTCAATTTTATTTTTAAAACCAAACTTCATATCATTGTTGTGAGAAATCACTATTTCTTGGCATAAATAACACTCGATAAATGCGAATCAAATAACCGCTGTTGCATTTTAACTAAATACCCGTGTGGGCTTTAGCATTATTTAACTCCGAGAACATTTTCTGTATTTAAAATGGGAATTTCCCAGAGTTGGGGACTGTCGCCTTAGCCTAACAAGGAATGCAAGAAGGCTAAACAGAATGATTCTCTCATGGAGAATCTGGTTTAATGCCCTTTTCTTGTAGTCCTAGGTTATCTTGGGTCCCTCCTCACACCATCTTGCATTGTAGGAGGTCTGTATTTTGTTCTTTTGAGAAATATTCAATGGTGCTGTTAATCGTTAACTTGTGATCATGATTATTTCTATCAGTCCTGACAATCATCAGTTTCCTGCTAAACCACTGAGAGAATCCCAGAGCCATCTCCTTACGGATTCCCAGACCTGGACAGAGAGCAGCTCAAACCCCGGAAAAGGAAAAGCCGGTAAGGTTGCGCTTGCCTTCCTTTGATAGCCTATGTGAAATAGGAGAAAAAGTCATTGCACAGAGCTTCATCTTTCACTGTTGAGTCAGACTCCTGTCATACTCTTACAATTCCTGTCTGTTCGGCACGGAAACTTTCTTGTGGCATGTTGTAACAATGGTCAGTGATGCACAGTAGGAAGTGTAGAACGGGAAAGAATGCAGTCCATTCAGGAATTTCCAAATTATCTCCAGGAAAGGATGCTGAATTCTGCAACTTTGTCTTTTATTTTAAGAATTCGATCTAGCTTCAGAATATCTGAATGAACTACATATTCACCACAACTTTAGCTGCTTTTGATTTCTTCACACCTCACAATTAATTGCTCTCATTGTTGATGATTCTATTTTTTTTTATTACTTCAGTCACTATCGTTTAATTAACAAAGAACAAGCAAGGTTTTTAAGCTCAGAAATGATTACCGGTCTCAGTCTTTTAGTGATATTTAGATTTTGTTTCTTTATATTACAGTACTGGTGTTTTTAAGGGTTAAAAGCAACAGTGTGATTATAACACAAGTGTGGTGTGGTGTGTGTGTGTGTGTGTGTGTGTGTGTGTGTGTGATATGTTTTGATGTCCCAACAAACATGTACAAAACCACAAATCTATGATTAGGGAACTGTTATCTAGAAGGCTCCAGATAAATTTTCATCATTTTAATTTAGATCTTCACTTATGTTTACCTTATTCTCCTTTCATTTTCTAAATCCACGTGCTGTTTCACTACATTTTAAAGTACTGAATGATTTATTTTGACTCTCTGGTATTTCGTGATAGTTCAAAAAAAATATAGCCCCGAGAAAAAGTTTTAGTTATTATTTAACATCTGATCAGCCACATTCTTCTAAAGTGTGATGTTTCTTTAGCAAATCTTGGGGTTTTATTTTGTTTGTTTGTTTCAAAATACATTTGTCTTGTGATATGGTCTCTCTCACCTTCAGTTGTAGTATTTTACTTTCCAGGTGGTGGAAAGGATGAGGCATGACCTACACAATAATTGATGATACTTACTTGGCTTCTGAACACTACTTTCCATAGAAACAAAGAAGTGATGCAGGGGCAATTGTCAGGGATGCTCACAAATATTCCTTCCAGGAAGGATATATATTTCATCTCACAGTACTCATTAACATACTGCTGATTTCCTGTTTTTTAATATGCTATTAATTATTTGGTAGTTAAATTGATTTTTATGTTTTTTGAATTGCTACATTAAGAAGCGAAAGGGTGATGTAAAGGAGGTAAGAAGCACATGAAAAGGATGGGATGGCAAAAGGGCTTAAAGACTGCTTTCATCAGGTGAGAGAGGAAGAAGTCAGGATGTTGAGTGCATGCAGTGCCTGCTCTATCACATCTTTCTTGACTCTGGTCTCCTGTTTCTTCTGCTGGAGGCCTGTCTCCCCTCACTGCCCCTGCTCTGTGTGTGTGTGTATGTATGTGTGTGTGTGTGACACACTAAGAGAGAGAGAGAGAGACTGGAGTGATGTAACTAATGCTGTGTAGTGTGTGAATGTCTATGTGTTTCTGTAATCAAATATGAATACAATATACTAAACTCTGTTGTTATTATTCTAGAGGACCACTTTATAGGTAGAGATGTTTTTGCTTCTTGTTCAAAACAGTCAAAAAAGTCTTAACTTACGGTCTTTAAGGTATGAGCAACCCTGCATTAACTATGGAGAACGAGACTTAACTCTACAATCAAAATAAAATCATTTTTAAAAGGTAAGATGTTTTCGCTTTATTGCTACATTTCATTTTTAACAGCTTTCTAGTTTCAAAGAATTACTGGGTTTTATGAACAATATTTTTTGAATGACTCTGAAAGTATCTTTCTTGACCCATGGGATTCCATGAATCATGTTGGACACGGACATGGACCTAGCTTCAGTATTAACCAGCATCTATGTTAGCTTGACAAGCTATAAGAATAAGTTAGTGGAAAAGTTACTCTAATAGTAATACAGTAAGTGCCAAGGATGGATCCTAAAATGCAATATTACCTTGCATTTTACAGGATCATGAAATTATTTTTTTCTCATGTAGGGTTATTGTCATCATATCTTTGATAATCTATTAGCAGACTTTTACCTAGTCTAAATATTAGATGATTAAATCTTGTCAGCACAAACCTTGTCATCCTCATTTTGGGTCATTCACAATAGGACCTCATTATATAGTCATCTTTAATAGCTGTTCCAGATCATTTTCTTTACATTATAATTAACAAGTAAACTTGTGCTTTCAAATACATTTCCTTAAAACCTATCCTGTTTATAAGCCTTAGTTAGCACAAAGGTAAAATAAAAAGTGTCTTTGAAAGACACCTCTGTGCATCTACTAAAAAAGCCAACTATATATGCAATATTAGAATAAACACAATAAATATATGCCACCTAGGGTATGTATGCAACGTAATCCCAAAACCCAAAAAGCAAAAGCAGGAAGAGTGTAATAAGGACTCAGCCAACTTCATCTGCATAAGGAGTTCCAGGCCGGCCAAGGCTATGTAGAAAGATCTTATCTTAAAAGCAAGAAAACAAAGAATAAGCACAATGCAACCATGTTAAACATCAAATGTCATAAATGCAACTTTCTGTTTGTGAAACTGCAGTCTAAAATCCTCACTTTTAAGGGATACATAATTGTCCAAAATAACATAATTTGTATCATCATGAATATTGACTTTTAAAATTTACTTTGTTTGGTCTTGATGAATAATTATGCAAATAAGAGAAAACTACAGCAGGGTGTAGAGACATGTTTATTCCCAAAATTCAGGAGCAGAATCAGGTAGAGCTTTGTGAGTTTGATGCCAGTCTGGGCTATATAGTGAGTTCCAAGTTATTCAGAGCTGCATGATGGGATGAGAGAGAGAAAGAGAAAAAAAACTATTAAATTATAAGCTGCTAGTTAAAAGTTTTTTGAATTTGGGAAGCTATGGGTCACCTCTGAACACATGATGGTACAGGAGATCATACTGTCATAGCTATAGTTAGAAAAATGAAAATGGAATATTCTGAGTTTGGTTAAATACTAAATAGGTATTAAATGTTTAGAAAAGATCCTAAGATCCAATGAGTAAAAAAAAAAAAAAAATGAAATACTAGTTACTATGACAAATAGAATATTTTATAGAACATACTTGGGTAAGACACAAAATTCACAGTATTTTCTTTCAGTATTTCAAACCATTGTTTATAAATACCATTGCTTATGAGGTAATTATTAGTACAAAGTTTTCTTTGTATTAATAGTTCTCCTGTTTCTATGCCAATGCTGTATCTAAGTATCCTTTGCATTCTAATATTTTGACACGCACCAGTATTTCATTTGTTGAGAACAAACCCCAACACCTTTCACAGAGACTTGTGATTGAACAACATTAAAATTAAAGACCCAGAGAAGCTTGATTTTATTGGTATTCATAACCAATGGCAGCCAAATCAACTACACAAACCCTTTTTAAAAAGTGATTTTTTTATGTGTTTCTCATGTATGTGATATAACCTCCAAGCAAATTTTTAAATTAAATTTCTCCTAAGAGAGTAGTAACAGAGACTATACTATTTGTTTGTTTTGAGCCAGGTCTCAACTGGCTGGCTTGGAACTCTGTGTAGACCAGGACAGTTTCAAACTTACAGAGATCTGCCTGCCATTGACCATGGTGGGATTACAGGCGTTCAGCATTATTATTCTTGCATTATGTCTCACATTTGCAAGTCACTTAATGCACACATTTATGGAACTGTGTCTAGGGAGCTAGAGAGATGGCTCCATGGTTTAGACCCACTGGCTGCTGTTCCAGAGGACCCAGGTTTAATTCCCAGCACCTACATGGCAGCTCACAACTGTCTACAACTGAAGTTCCAGGGGCTCCACACCCTCAAACAGATGTTTGTGCGCCCAAAATAAAAAATAAATAAATTATTATGGAATCATGTCTAATGTTGGTGGACCTAGTTCAGATAACCAAATTATTCTTGTCTATTCTATTCTTGTCCTGTTGAAATACATTAGTAAATGCTCTTTGGCTTTGGGTTAGATACCGAAGATGGATACCCAGAGCCTTGTGCATTCTAAATAAGCACTGTACCAAACCATACCATACCATACCATACCATACCATACCATACCATACCATACCATACCATACCATACCTTTGAGTTAAGTCCCAATCCTAATCTGTGGCTTTTTTACAGGTCTCTTTTCCAGATCAGCATAATTTACAGTTATTTTTCCTGAAATGCATCATGATGCTAAAAACATTAACTCTAGTATACTCAACCCTCCTTATTTTACAACAGAACATACAGAAGTACTGTGATGTCATCCATGTGAAATAAAGAGTTAAAGTGCCCTCAACTCTTTAGCCATTCCTAATTTCTAACTGGCCTCAGAGGGGAGAACAAAGAATTTACCTCCTGGAACTAGATTGTCATGCGGAACCTTGTTCGTTGCCCTCTACATACTGAATCAGAATCTACATTGACTGTGCCATCAGTAAGAGCCTCTCCTGTGTGTGTCCATTAGATCTGGGGCTCTCTCGTCAAGAACACATCTGCCAAGCCTCGCGGCACAGGACACGGTTTTGAATAGGGGTTATATGATAATGCATCAAACACTGAGTAAGTTGCTTAGTTTTTAAGTTTAACATAGTTTTCATGGTTTTTGTTTGCTTTTAAGGTTCCAGTGCTGTGGAAGAACGGAACAGGCTTCCCACAGGAAGGCACCATTGGGCAATTGTCCCTATATCTCTTTGGCTAAATATGCAAATTTTTCTTCAGTGATGGGGACCAAACCCAGCAGTAAGAAGAATTCTGAGGAATCACCAAACTTACGCTTAAAGCAGAACGCAGTTTAGTTCAGTATATAAACTGCTATAACTAGTGCAAATTACTATTAAACTTTAAAAGTAATTAAAAAGAAATTATTTTCAGCCAAAACCTAAGAATAAGTTCATGGGCCAGTTTACACTCAGATATTTGGGTTGTATAAGTTATCACACAATCCCATTAGTCATTTGATATTCTGTTTCAGAAAATTTAGGTAAATCTTAATATTTCAAAATTTCCAAGTCATGTTATCATGCTAAGCTGTCTCTGGGAGCAGGTTAAAAAAAAAAAAAAAAGCATCCATCTTTGATTTTTCCCTGTAGTGTAAAACTGGCTTCAGATGAGAAAGCTATACTAACTACGAATTCATTATGAAGGCCATGTAGTCTACAGCTGAAGGTCATCATCCATTTGTGGAAGGTTCTAATTCTAGACTTTTTCTCCCATTGCAAAATAAGTATGAATCCTGAAGCTTGAGTTCACTGTTGAAAAAAATTGGATAAAAACTTTTGTGAGCATTAATGCGTTGTTTTGACAAAGAACTTATATCAGAAATTTCTTGTCTTCTAATTTGAAATCAGAGAGGGGTTATGCTAACTATTATTAAGATTACTTGATTTTTTAAAACTACTTACTCTATTTTATGGTGAAGTTACTGAGTTTCTAAGCATTTCTGACGGATTAATGGATTATCCTCTACACCTGTGTCATCTGCGTCTTTTCATCAAGACTATAATTGTTGCTATGTATTTTTCCTCAAATGCCTATCAACATTCAATTATGCAAATTGTTTAAAATCATATACTTTTGGAAGTTTACCGCGAACTAAACAGTATGCTCTTTGAAAGTGTAGTTTAAGGTAAACTGAAATAATGTGGTTTTTGGTGCCAAAAGGTTTGGCCTCAGTGAGTATACTCAGAAGCTCCTGTGCCTTGTCTGCACTATTTACAAAAGGAAAAAATGTCTCATTAAAAACAAAAATCTGGGAAATAAGTTTTATAAATTAACCATTAGAATAATAGTAAGCTGTGTGGTTCCTTTGGTACTAATTTTGAGAATTTTGAAAGTATATTAGCTTTTTTTTTTTTTTTTTTTTGAACAGCTAAATAACTGACATAAGCAAGAATTAACTGCAAACTAAAAGACTGGGAGATAATAGATCAATGCAAGCTCCTTGCCATTGCTCACCCTTGCTAAAGCGTTTAGAGTTTCCTATTCAGCGTGTTTTGGGACGAACCGACATCAGCCCAGTGCACTGTGTGTGGTCCACTTGGGTGCAGTTCTGTGAAGGAGGATGATGGGTGGGTTCACATATCCCAAGCTAGAGAGTTTGCTCTGACAATCTACTTCACAAGACTCAGAGGACGGGGTGTGCTTCCCCTTTGTCTTCATGCATGTTTTGGTCATTTGTCATTACCGGAAGTGCCAGCCTGGAGTCCGTCGCTCCTGCAGAAGTCGTTTGGGCAGCAGCATGCAGTGTGTTAGAGGACCTATGCAGCAGGTTTTTCTGATAGCACAGTGCTCCCTTATCCGTTTTCCAGGACCGCAGTTTCTTAGGCATGTCCTTTTATCAAACTGGAAGCTGGTGGGGACGGGGGGGGGGGGGGTTTACATTTTGCCCTGCTAGAATACTGTTATTTCTGCCCTCTTTAGGTCATTTATGTACTTATTTTAAATACCTAAGTCCATACACCTTAGAGTCAAATTGGAAAAACAATTTAAAAAATAAATTTTTTTTTCAAGACGTTGTAATGGTTACTTCTGTTTCCATCCAGTTATTTAGCCTTTAAAGTTGGCTGGTCGTTTTGTTCTTACTCACGGGGTGAATGATTGGAATGACTACATACATCATGCACATACTACAAGCATCGAATATGTATGTCTATCTACAACATCTTAAAGACTTCGTTTTAAAGGATGTAATGCCTTAAATCAGATTTGTACAGGCACACACTCCAACAGTCCTGATTAAGTTTAAACTGATAGTTTCCATTCTACTTGTTTTAAGAGCTCTTTCCATATAGGCAACAAGATTTAAGAAATTGTCCATTTAAAAATACTGAGTAAATGTTTCATTTATTTACATTACATCTGTTGCTTTATAGCAGCGTAGGACTTGTTTGTTCAAGAATAATACTTGCATCTGGATACAATGACAATGTCTTCCCATGCTCATGAATTTCTTTCTGATATTCTCTAATGAAATATCTGTTCGTCATTAGCTATCCAGACGAAATTGCCTTGGCACTGTCAATACCATTAAAAAGAGGCTTTTTATAATAGTCTACCAAAGCTACTAATGGTAGAATCCACGTCAACAATTTAGTCATAGCTCAAATCTCTGGAGAAGATAAGAAGATGAAGAATGACTTGTTAGTAGTTAAGGTAATTCTTAGGACAGCTGGAAATAGACTGTAAAACTTAAGTACCTTGTAATCTGTAGCTATCTACTGAAAAATATGCCAACCGCTTAACAACCAACTACCGTCACCAAGGAAATCAGATGCAAAGAATTTATTAACCAAGTTTATAAAAAGTAGCCTATCATGCAACTTATGTTTAAAGAAAATATGGGGAAAATGTTGTGCCATTTTATTACAAACTAGTAATTTTTTTCTCATTTTAAAATATGTGTAAGTGTACTTGCCTGATTCTGTAGTTGGGCTGTGTAAATATTTACTGATGAAAGCAGTGGTTTTGACACCTTAGTGAGTTTTCTTAAGCACAGAAGCTTGTACAGATCAGTAAGGTGGTTTACACTGTACACTATGGCAGTTTTCCCAGAGGAGCCTTTCCTTCTTCCCAAGCAGATTGTATACTGGTGAACCAATATTTTGTACAAAGTGATGGAACTGAACAGTGATCTTCTCCCACCCCCCAATAACATGTTTGTACATAAGACCCTTTTGTAGAAACTTGTTTTTCCTGAATTGAAAACCAGCTGCTTCAATCCCACCTTTTAGCTACCACCTGAAGTGGTTTCGCCTTATCTTGGGAAAAAAATCATAGAACATCATTAAAGGATTAAATGAATACCAACATTAGGGAGTTCTTATTTTAAAATTGAGCAATATGTTCACCACCAGAGTTTCTGTAAAATGTATTAACAAGGCTCTGGCTTTTGCTACATAAAGGAATTCCTCATAACTCAGGACCAGACGATTTTATGACTTACAAAGACCTATGGTTTATAGTGCCTTATTCAGAAGGCCTAACACTAACAAAGTATAAGGAACTTTCTCTTGTAAGAAATAGTTGTATAGAAGGTCTCACTCCAGGAAAAAGTGGAGGTAAACAAAACATCAAAGAAAATCTTGCAAGATTCTTGAAGACACCTCCTTGGCTGTTATAGAAATAGTAAGAGACATCAAGGGTGGGGCAGGAAGGTAGACTCTGGTTGAGATGCCTACCAGTTAGTTATACAGAGAGCTCAGCTTCCCTGAGTCTTCACCCTTGTTGGGATGGGGTATTTGTTTTTCCTTTGTTTGTTTGTTTGTTTGTTTTGTGTGTGTGTATGTTTTGTTGGTGTTGTTATTGTTATTTGTTTGGTTTTGCTTGCTTTTTGTTATTATTATGTTTTAATCAATGCAGCAGCTTCTGGGTCATCTGTGCTTCTGTAAGTAACCCCTTCCCCACACTCCTGTTAGTAACCCCAATAAATACTCACTATTCACCAAGTTGGGACTTTGGTGCAGTCACTTCTTTGGTCTGTGCTGTGTTCTTTTTCTGGGATGAGTACATGTATGAGTACATTTCTGTCCTCCCAGGAGAAGTCTCTCATATGACAGAAGTACATTAATATTTAATAATTTATTTGACATCTAAAGGTGCCTACTTTAATTGAGAAAAAAAATAATGTAATGCTCCAAAGTATGATTACAGTTAAGACTAAGTTAAAGAAAGAATGGGTCTCAGTCCTGGAAAGCTGCAGTTCTTTCATTAAGTCATTAAAGCAAGGCTCTCATGAGTTTTGAGTAAATGTTCTTTTTCTTTTATTTTCTATCACTATGTATGGCTTCCTAAAGTGTAATCTTAAAGAATATTAACTAAGCCGGGAGTAGGGACACAATCCCAGCACTCAGGGAGGCAAAGGCAGATGGATCTCTGTGAGTTTGAGGCCAGCCCAGTCTACAGAGTGAGTTCTAGCATTGCCAGGGCTACACAGAAAAACTCTGTCTCGTGAAAGAAACAAACAAATAAATAAAACAAAATAAAAACATTTGTGTGTGTTTTAACCTATCTTGGAATAGCTGAATGAGGGTTAAAGTACTTGAAAGTGGAAACACTTGGGAAAGTGGAGAGGACAGGAACAGTGATGAAAGACAGCTGCTGACAGTTAACAATGTTAATTTGTACTCAAACAAAACTAGCAACAACAAAAATGTTGCAAATGAAAAGATCTCCATTCAAAGCATTTTTGACTTAGGTCAATTGTGATGTAAAATATTGTGTCCCTGGGTTCTTCCAATGGAAATTTCTTAAGTTGGAAGCCCAGTGGTGTCATTCAGGCTGAAATGAAGGGAGTTCCATTTCTTGGTGTGGTACTGAAAGAGGAGACCTAGGAGGTGAGAATCTACTCTGCTGATGCAACATAGCTGGAGACTCTATTCACCAAATCCATGTGTGCCGTGCCAAGAAGGTTAGTGACTGGGGGATCTTCACAAAATAAATAAGGAGTCATTACACAGAAAGGCACATTGTTCATTTAGCTACAAAGTTTAGCTATGAGCCAATAAAAATATTTCTACGACTTATAGTAGGAGAACTTATTGTTTGCTTTTATCTTACATATAACAGAATGACTGACACCATAGTTATCTACCACAAATCAGAAAAAAAATGAAACTCAGTGAATGAAAATCCTGTGATTATCACTTAAGCTAGCTCCTAACTTAAAAGAAATTTAAAGGATGTTGAACGTTTCTTTCTGTTTCTCTGCCATCCAGTATTCCTCTATTGAGTATTCTCTGTTTAGCTCTGTACCCCATTTTTTAATTGGATTACTTGATTTGTTGCTGTTTGACTTCTTGAGTTCTTTATATATTCTGGATATTAGTCCTCTGTCAGATATAGGGTTGGTGAAGATCCTTTCCTAATCTGTAGGCTGTGGTTTTGTTCTGATGACAGTGTCCTTTTCTTTACAGAAGCTTTTCAGTTTCATAAAGTCCCATTTATTGATTGTTGATCTTAGAGTCTGTGCTGTTGGTGTTCTGTTTAGGAAGTTCTCTCCTGTGCCAATGAGGTCAAGGCTCTTCCCCACTTTTTCTTATAAAAGATTTAGTGTGTCTAGTTTTATGTTGAGGTCGTTGATCCACTTGGACTTTAGTTTTGTGCAGGGTGATAAATATGGATCTATTTGAATTTTTCTACAGGTAGACATCTGTTTAGACTAGCACCATTTGTTGAAGATGCTGTCTCTTTTTCATTGAATGGTTTTAGCTTTTTGTCTAAAATCAAGTATCCATAGGCGTGTGGGTTTATTTCTGGGTCTTCTATTCGATTCCATTGATCCTCCTTTCTGTTTCTATGGCAGTACCATGTAGTTTTTATTACTATTGCTCTGAAGTACAGCTTGAGATCAGGGATGGAGATGCCTCCAGATGATCTGTTGTTATACAGGATCATTTTAGCAATTCTAAGTTTTTTGTTTTACAAAGAAACTGAGACTTGATCTTTCAAGTTCTGTAAAAAATTGTGTTGTTATTTTGATGGGAATTACATTGAATCTGTAGATTGCTTTTGGCAGGATGGCCATTTTCACTATGTTAAACGTACCAATCCATGAGCATGGGAGATCGTTCCATCTTCTGATATCTTCTTCAATTTCTTTCTTCGGAGACTTGAAGTTTTTTTCAAACAGGTCTTTCACTTGCTTGGTTAGAGTTGCCCCAAGGTACTTTATGTTATTAGTGGTTATTGTGAAGGGTGTTGTTTCCCTGTTTTCTTTCTCTGCCCCTTTGTCTCTCATATACAGGAGGGCTACTGATTTTTTTTAAGTTAATTTTGTATCTAGCCACTTTGCTGAAGGTGTTTAGTAGTTGAAGTTGTTCTCTGGTAATATTTTTGGGGTCTCTCATGATATCATCTGTGAATAGTGATACTTTGACTTCTTCCTTTCTGATATCCTTTAGTTGTCTTATTGCTCTAGCTAGGACTTCAAGTACTATGTTGGAGCGAGTGCACTGCCTTGCCTTGTCCTTGATTTCAGTGGGATTGATTTAAGTTTCTCTCCGTTTAGTTTGATGTTGGCTATAGGCTTGCTGTATATTGTCTTTACTATGTTTAGGTATGTGACTTGTATCCCTGATCTGTCCAAAACTTTAAACATGAATGTGTGTTAAATTTTGTCCAACCAAGGACCATGCATGAAGATAACCTAAAACCCCTGCACAGATGTAGCACATGGCAGGTCAGTCTCCAAGTGGGTCCCTAGTAAGGGGAACAGGGACTGTCTCTGACATGAACTCAGTGGCTGGCTCTTTGATCACCAACTCCTGATGGGGGAGCAGCCCTATCAGGCCACAGATGGACACAGTGCAGCCAGTCCTGATGAGACCTGATAGGCTAGGGTCAGAGAGAAAGGGAGGAGGACCTCCCCTATCAGTGGACTTGAGGAGGGGCATGGAAAGAGAAGAGGGAGGAAGAGTGGGTTTGGGAGGGGATAAGAGAGGGGCCTACAGCTGAGATACAAAGTGAATAAACTGTAATTAATATAAAAAATAAAAATTTAATTAAAAAACTAAG